CTCAAGAGCGGCTTCTGCGTCAAGCAGGGCAACGTGGTGAGTGCCTGGGGCTGCCTCTCCCTGCAGGCCAGGGCTGCTCTGGCTGCAGGACCTCGACAGAGAGTGGCAGGGCTGAGCGCTGAGCGATTTCCTGCTCTTTTCCAGAGGAAGAGCTGGAAGCGGCGGTACTTTGTTCTGGATGAGTTTTCCATCAGTTACTACAAGTGTGAGCAGGTGAGCAGCTCCCCCGGGACCCCAAGCACCTCCTCCTCCTCTGAAGGAGGCACATGCCAGCCCCGAGGCCAGCCAAGCCCAGCACTGTCTCCTCTCGCCTCTGCAGGACAAGGAGCCTTTACGTTCGATTCTCTTGAAAGATGTTTGCAAGACCCACGAGTGCCTGGTCAAGTCTGGGTAATGCTCCCACCCGTGTTTCCCTGCTGTGCCCCAGGCTGGCTCAGGAGAGCGAGCTTGGGCTGCTCCAGCTGCTCGTGGGAAGCAGCTCTCGAGGTGTTTGCCTTAAACTAGCCCAGGCGGCTGCAGTGTCTCGGGAACAAGTTGTTGCAGCAAACACTGATAAAATCAAAGTAATGTAAAGGCTTGCAATGAAAAATAACCTAAGAAAACAAACCTCTTCGGCTAAAGTAAAAATATTGTGTATTCATGTATCTCTGAACTGTTTATTCCTAATAAGTGATAGCAAGCTGATATTTAAAATGAGCTGGGAATGCAGTGGGTTATGGTGGGGGAGGGCAGAGGTTTGTTGGCTGATGTTAGAGCTGGGGGATTTCTGGCTGTTGTTTTCTGGGGATCTGGACTCTTCTCAAAATCCCAATGAGAACCAAGGTTTGCCTTCAATACGTTCCTCCCCAGCACACTCCAGAGATGAAGATAAATACGGGTTTTCTGTCCATGATGGCTGCTGGGGTGTGACTGTCTCTTTCTCACTCTTTCTAGTGACCTACTGATGCGAGACAACCTCTTTGAAGTCATAACAAGCTCCAGGACCTTCTACATCCAGGTGAGCAGCTGAGGCCAGGATAATTTTTGGGGCAGAAAGTTCAGCTCTTGAGAAATGGACAGTTCCCCACAGCCCTTCACCAGTGAACACAGTGAGCAGATGGGGCTGTAACACACGAGTGTGAAGGAGAACTGTGGGGGATTCACTTTTCCCTTGGGATTGTTTATAATAGGGGCTGTTTGTGGGAGCAGGAGAAGGCAGAGCTGAACCTTGGGAATGCCAGGACAGCTGAGCCTCACTGGGGCTGCTGTGTTTGCAGGCAGACAGCCCCGAGGAGATGCACAGCTGGATCCGGGCAATCACAGGGGCAGTGCAGGCCCTGAAAACCCGTCCCAGGGTAGGTCACGCACTTTCTGTTTCACATTTACCGTCAAATGGAGATGATACCAACGTACAAAATCCTTATTTAGTGGATTATCTAACCAACCTCGCCCTGCCCTGCCCCTGCAGGAGATGTCCTTTATGAGATCCACCTCCGTGGCCAGGCCCGGCGGCTCCTCGGGCCCCTCGCAGCCGCGGCCTTCGGCGGAGGAGCGGCGAGCGTCGTGCAAGGCGCCCTCCACGAGCTCCTGGCAGCCCTGGACGCCGGTGCCGCAGGCCGAGGGGCAGCGGCCGGCGCTGGGGGGGCTGCCGGCCCCGCTCAGGGACTCGGTGTTCGTGCCGGCGCTCACGGAGCGCCAGGGCAGGGCCGCGCCCGGCACGCGCCTGCGGCACCGCTCCGAGCCGCAGCACCTCAAGGAGAAGCCGTTCGCCTTCGACCTGGATGATGAAAGCATCCGGACCTCCGACGTCTGAGAGAGCAGCGAGCCACCCCCGGCTCCGCACGCCGCCTCCCCGGATCCCCGTGGGGCGGTTTGGGGCGCGCCAGGTGGTTCCTTCCCTCCGCCACAGCTCTTCCCTGCGACGCGGGATCCGTCCGCAGCCACGTCCACACAGGGTGCACCACCCCACCACAGGGTCCCTGGCTGCTCCTGCCCAGTGGTTCCATGTCTTGGAAGGTGCTTCCAGGCACTGCCGGCGCGCACTGTGCAGGGCAGGAGATGCTGGGGACCTGTACGAGGGGACATCTTCTGCAATTGCATCGTTTCCCCCACAAACCAGGTCTGGAGGAAGTGGCAGGAGGTCTTGAAGGCGTGAGGAGGAGTGTGGCCTTTCTTGTGTTTGTAAAATGTTTCTCTCCCCTTTGCTGCTGCTCAGATTCCCCAGGGCAGAGCTGGGAGCCACCAGCCTGCAGCTGCCCACACAGGGGACTCACTGCAGCTTCCCCTTATGGTGACTTATTCCCTCAGAAATCTTCCCACTGCCCACACAAGGGTTTATCAGCAATCTGCTGGCTTTTAATTATGTCTTTTTATACCTGTGGCTCCTGTTGAACCCCAGCCTGGGCAGATACTCAGCCCCTCCAAAGGCTTTTGGTACTTCCTGAGCATGAGCCAGGGCAGGCAGCTGGAGCCACCGTGGCTCCCAGGTGGGAGCACCCTCAGGTGTGATGTTGGTTTTGCACACACCAGGGCACAGGTAGCCGTGCCAGATGGTGAAGGGCTTTTAGTAAAAAGCAATGAAAACCAGCCATGATGGAGCTGGGCAGGCTTGCCCGGCCAACTCACCCCCTGCCTGCCCGAGATGGAAACCAGCAGGAGTTTCTAGAGCAATGTGAATCGTCATTTCCATAACCTAATGAGCTCCTGTAGGTGTGATAAATAGTGTGTAGAAAATCCAGGTGTTCCCTCGGCAGAGATTGTCTGATACCTTCACCCCACAAGTGTGTGCAATCCCCACAAGTGTGTGCAATCCCCGCGTGCCGAGCGAGAACTCAGCTCCCCTCTCCCTTCCCTGGCTGTGACACGTCCTCTGCTCTGTAAGCTCAGCCCAGCGTGTTCCCTGGGAGCAGAACATCTGGTTTGTCCCAGCCCTTTTGGGGTCTCCAGCTGTTTGACAGCTGTGCCTGAGCCTTGACTAGCATGACTGACCTTAATGTGATGCCAGCTGTACCTTCCTGCCTCGGTGCCCGTGGGGCTGCTGTGGGATGGGCACAGCACAGGGTACCTCTGTGCCACTGGGGGAGGCAGGAATGGGGTCTCCCAAGTTCAGGGGGAAGAGGGTCTCAAAGGGGATTGTGTGGAGGTGCTGGAGGACACAGAGACCACGAAAATGAGTGGGAATCGATGCAAACGGTACAGGGCGAGTGTTAATATTATTTAATTGTAGCTACCTAGATCCTGCTCTTCCTTTTTCTGCTCCTTTTTGCTTTATTTGCACTAGAGTTTGAAACTTTCATTTTTTTAGGCTGACTTGCTGTTTGGCTCCTAACACTGTTTCAAGAATGTTTTCAGTAGTTTGGCAAGCCCACCCATCAGAGAGTCTCAGTTTTGGAGAGCAGGGAATGCAGAGGGGATGATGGTTCTTTTGTGCAAGGCCTTGGAACCACAGACTCCTGAGTATTCCTGGTGCTTGATAATTGCACAGTTTCCTCAGGCCTGGGAAGGTAAAGCAGAAGCTTGTTGCACAATTAAGGTAATTATCCAGAAGCAGAAACTACCAGTGGCTCCAGCACTATTGCAACATTCCTTTTGCTCGTTCCCACCCTCCTGCATCCCCAGGACAGCACAGAGGCTGCAGGTGAGGTTCAAACAAGTGTGGAGCTCAGCTGGGCTCCAGAGCTGTCCACAACACAGGTGGTGTTGGGAGGGAGGGATTTCCCTCCCATTCCAGAGGGCTGGGTGGATGCAGCCAGACCTCGATGGAGCTTTGTGGTGATTTTAAAGCAAACTGGTTCCCCTCAGCTCTGTGTTGGCTCCTGGCTCAGGCGTGGATGGTCTCACCCCCCTGGAGCTGCTCCCTCCTGAGTCATGTGCTGTGGGGCTGGGGGTGCTGCACATTTGGGGTGCCTTGTGGGGGGCAGAGTGGTGGGAGAGAGGGGTTTGCTATTCCCACGTGGTTCCAGATGTTTCTGGAGGTGCTGGCTGGGGATTCCAAGTGCTCTTAGGGCTGGGGCCCTCTGTGACTCCTGGGGTGGGGGTTACCTGCCTCCCACCCCTTGCCTGTACATGCTGCAATGCCCTTTCTCCCCCGTGTTTTTAAATAAAGAAGGAAATCCTGGTTATTTTCCCCAGCTGTCCATTTGCACTGTGTGTTTTGGGTAAGGGCTGCCGTGGGGGATGAATGCTGTGCCCACCAGGGTGGGGGGACAGGGTGCAGCAGCTGGGGAGAGCCTGGGAGCACCAGTGGCTGCTCCCCGTGCTCACGGTGCTGCTGCCCTGCACAAGGAGGGAACAGTGCATGGTGAGGGCAGGGACATCACAACTCCTTCTGAACAAGGTCCCAGATGTTCCCTGGGGAGGAGGGAAGCTGCTGGACCAAGGTCCTGCTGTGAGCTGGCAGTGGGGGGCTGGAGACATGGGAGCTGTTAACGACAGTGCACAGGGGATTGTTTTGGTTTTTTTCTTTTTTCTGGGTCACTGCAGAACTTTTTCCCCTCCATGGGCTTTCCAGCCCTGTTGTTCTGCTGAGGAATGGCATTTTCAGGACAAAGCTGCCCCCTGCCCCCCCAAATTGAAGCTGCCAAACTTGGGAGTTTGTGTGTGTTTGCTGTTTTATCTCAAACATGACTGGACATTTGCATACGTAGATTTTGTGTCTGGCTCTGGCTGGGACTCGTTGCAGCTTCCCTTTCCCATTTTATTCAGCTTGGTAAGTTTTTAACCTGCAGCTGGTGGGGCTTCCTCTTTCGGGTGTGAGATTCTTGCACCCTTTGGGTGCTGTAGGTGCCCTGTGCTGGGGCTGGAGCCAGAAGGGTGCCTGGCACACAGACAGGAGCTGCCCCATGGCAGCTCTGCCCCTTTCCCAGCTCCCTGACTGCTCCCAGATGGCCCATGACCCCAAGGTAACCAGGGCTCAGGACTCTGGATTAATGGGCTGGCTGGGGGGACTCAGGGCTAGACCGTGACCCCACGGCCTTCATCTCTGTGTGGCTGTGATCTACTAATCCCCAAAGTACGTGCAGTCAGCTTCTTCCAGATTTTATTGTTTGTTTGACCCCCTGTGTTCGCAAGCTCTGATTTCTGAAGCTGTCACTATTTGCAGTGGGAAGCCAGATTATTTTAAACAAGCAAAATATATCCTGAACAACTTTGTGTCCAAGGTCGGTACAGAGTCATTACCAAGAGTAACTGCTGTGCACCCTGAGTCACAGTTCTGTAAGTCCATGTTGTGCCAAGCAGAGCCTGGGCTGGAGCTGGGAGCGAGCAGAGGCACCCAGGGGCTGCAGCTGGGGCCAGCCCTGCCCCTCCTCAGTACACGGTGCACCAGTTGCTGCCATCACTGGGCATCAGCCCCCCGGTGATCAGCAGAATCAGATCCACAAACCACCAGATGCCCAGGCCCCCCAGGGTCAGCAGCTTCCCCACGGCGGTGCCGGTGTGGCCCAGGCAGAACCGATCCACTCCGAAGCAGCCCAGGAAGAAGGAGTAGAGCAGAGTGGTGATGAAGTAGTGTCCCGTGTACCTGCGAGAGAAGACGCGGCGGGGTCAGGGAGTGTCAGCGCTCCCCGCCGGACCAGCCCCGCTCCCGGGGGGTTCGGTCCGGTGGCCGCGGGGGGACAGGGACTCTCCTACTTGACGCAGGGCCGGCTGCCCCGCAGGAAGCTCCGCGGCTCGGCGCACTCGATGCCGTCCAGCGCCCGGCACTGCACACGCGTGTGATCCACCTCGCCGTGGGCCTGGCCGCCGAACTGCGGCGGGGGCAGCGCTCAGCGGGGCCCGGGGGGCGCCGCCACCGGGGCCGCCCCCGCCCCGCCCTCACCTTCACGCAGCCGTGGCCCAGCTCCTGCTGTGCCGTGGCGTTCCCGCCGTGGTCCACCGGCTCCTCGCACTCCACGAACTCATCGGGGCTGCGGGGAAGGAGCGGCTGGTGAGGGAGGCCGGCAGGCCGCGCTCCCCCCGCCCCGGCCCGGCGCTCACAGGTAGGTGCACAGGACGAGCGGCGCCCGCGGATCGCTGTAAGCCCAGGCGGCGGCGGGCGGCCCCGGCGGCAGCTCCCGGGATTCGGTGTCGTTGTCCGGGAGGCCGCGGCCGTGCAGGAGCAGCAGGTTCCCGAGGAGGAGCGCGGCCTGCCCGCACAGCAGCGCGTACCCCACGGGCGGCGCCATGGCGGCACCGCCGCCCCGCTCGGCCTCGGGCCGCACCGCCCGCAGCCAATGGGAGCCCGCCGCCGCACCGCCCCCGCCGCCCGCAGCCAATGGGTGCTCGCCCCCGCGCCGCTCGCAGCCAATGGGCGCTCGCCGCTCGCAGCCGGTCAGAGCGAAGCGGAAAAAGCTGCGGCAGCCGCAGCGAAGGGCGTGGCGGAGGGAGTGCGCGCCAGGCGAGGAGATGATTGGCTGCCGGGGAGGGCTGGCGGCCAATGGGCGAAGGCGAGGGGCGGGGCGCTGGTGCCGCGCTCGGGACCGAATCCCGGGACCGAATCCCGGGGCCGAATCCCGGGGCCGCACCGGGGCAAACGGGGCCCGGCCGGAGCCCAACCGGGACTCGGAGACCTCTCTCTCGGGGACCCCTCCCTCGGGGCGCGCCCGCCGCGCTCACCCGAAGAGCGGACACCCTTAGCACCGGAGAAGGGCTCTCAGGGGCCTGTGTTGCCGGTAACGGGCAGCGCGGCGGCTCAGCGGCCACAGCAGCCACTGGTTCCGCCCGAGCTGGCCGTTGTGCTTCGCGGCTCTCCCCAGCGCCAGCCCGCCCTTTGGGAATGGGAGGCAGTCTAGGTTCGGGTGCATTTGTGCTCTTTGCGTAGTAAATTGGCTCAATTTTGCCATTACTTGCTCCCAGTGTGAAGGGTTTGTTCCTGATTTTTCCGGAGGATGATGCAGAGCTCCGAAGTTGCCCTGGCAGGTTGTCCACGGGCGGTTGGTGGAGCAGGGCAGTATGCCTGGTGCTTGTAGCAGAGGGCAAAGCTGTGATGCCTTCTCATCCTGGGGAGTTTCTCCTGCTCACCTGTACCTGTGGTATTGCCCAGCCAGGGGCTGACGTGGTGTGTTCTCATGTGCTTCCAACACATTATGAAAAGATTCTTTCCCTTTGAGGGGCACTGAACAGGCTCCCGAGAAAAGGGTCACAGCCCCGAGGCTGCCAGAGCTCCAGGAGGGTTTGGCCAACGCTCCCAAGGATGCACAGGGTGGGATTGTTGGGGTGTCTGTGCAGGGCTGGGAGTGGGACGTGACGATCGCTGTGGGCCCTTTCCAGCTCAGGCTATTCCACGGTTCTGCGCTTCCAGTGTGCGGTGCAGCTTTTCGGCAGGCAAGGCCAGCAGAGCCGTGCTGGCCGCAGTCTGCGCTGACACCAGCTCCCTTTGCGGGCGTTTCCTTCGGGACCCCAGCGCTTTTGGTCGAGGCTCTTCCCGTCCCTGTCGGGGCCGTGCCCGGGCGGTGCCGATGCCCGGGTCCGTGCTGGGTCCCGAGGCCGTGCCGGACCGTGCGGGGCCCGGGGCGGGCGGTCGGTCCCGGGGCCGTGCCGGGCCCTGCCGGTCCTTGCGGGGCGGTCGGTCCCGGGGCCCGCAGCGCAGGCCCCGGCCCGGCTCCATAAGGCCGCGGGGCCGCCGGCCGGACCCAGCGCCCCACGGGAGGGGCGATGTGGGCAGGGGGTGTCATGGCCCGGGCCTGGAGCTGCCTCTGTCGCCTCCTCATCTTCCTCATCTTCCTCCTGCCGCCGCCGGCCGCGCCCGGGCAGCCCGCGGGTGAGTGCGCGGGGCCGGGCCGGGCCTGCCGCCCGCAGCCCGCTCGGCCCCCGCTCCCTTTCCCGGACAGCGCCGTTCCCCCTTCCCCATCCCCTCCGGAGGGTCGGGCCCCCCTTGTCACCCCTCCCTGGGGCAGCCGCTTCCCCTCCCCTGCCCTCGAAGGGTCCGGTGGGGCAGAGCCCCCCGCGGCTTGGCCAGAGCGGGGGTCCTGCCCGCTGGCCCCGTGTGCCCCGCGGCGGTGCCCGGTGGTGGCGGCTGCCAGCTGGAGGGCGTGTGGGTGGCAGCACCGCCTGTGCCCTGCCCAGCATCGCCAGTGCCAGCGTGCGGGATGCTGCCGAGGGCCCGGCGGGACAGCGGGGCTCCGGTGTGGGGCCCATGGAGCTCCAGACGGGAGCTGATCCCGGGACAGCGGGGCTCCGGTGTGGGGCTCATGGAGCTCCAGACGGGAGCTGATCCCGGGACCATGGAGCTCCGGTTTAGGGCCCATGGAGGTCCAGATGGGAGCTGATCCCGGGACAGCGGCGCTCCGGTGTGGGGACCGTGGAGCTCCAGACGGGAGCTGATCCTGGGGCAGCGGGGCTCCGGTGTGGGGACCATGGAGCTCCGGTGTGGGGCCCATGGAGCTCCAGATGGGAGCTAGTCCCGGGGCAGTGGAGTTCCCGTGTGGGGACCATGGAGCTCCAGATGGGAGCTGATCCCGGCAGTGGCCTTGGGTCCCGGCACGCCTGCCCGAGCTCGCAGCTGTCCCGTGGCTCTTTGCTCCTCCATCCTCCCGTGTCAGCTCCGGCCGTGCTGTCCCGGGAGCTCTGCGCGGCTCTTGCGGAGCAGGAGGTAAAGCACCCGAGCAAAGCAGGGATGCAGGGCTGCCCGGTCAGTGCAGGTGGCCTTGGCCATCCAGGAGCTGGGGTGTGGGGCAGAGCTGCACAGGCTGCTGTGCCCAGGGAGGGAGGGCAGGACTCAGTGCCATGACTTTTAAGGAGCTGGTCCTGTGCTGTCCTTAGGGACTGTTCATTAATTGAGATGGTTCTGTTTATTTATGGTGTTGATTCAAGGCTATGCATACATGACAGAAATGTCTCCTCTGTCATTGTTTCCCCCTCCTGAAGGGACACGTGCGCTGTGTAAAACTTTTGTGTCTGTCATTAATGCGTGTTTTTGTAGTCAGGTCTTCCCAGCTGAGGAATATACAACTTGATACTGGTGCTTCGTGCTGAGGACAGTGCTTATGTGGTGTGTGCCTCTCCCCGAGGGATTCTGTGCTGGAATCTCTTCCTCTCACTTGCTGTGTTGTTGCTGGAGGGTGTGTGAGCTGTGTGAGGTGAAAGTCAGCTTTGGGAGGTGGTGCAGCACCTTGGGAGCTGCCTGACTGAGGAGGCTGAGTGTGATGCCTGGAATTATGCATCTCTGAGATGTCAGGTGCTTGTGCTTCTGGTGGGGTGCTTGGTGTTTTAGGAATAAGATTTTAGTTCCTGCCTGTAGGAAAGAAACACTGGTGCCAGTTCCTGATGATGGATGGTGGTGTTCCTTTCTGCCTTTGTAACTCTCTGTCCCAGCTATTAATGCCAAACCTTCCATGAGATATAACGAACCTCCCTTGCCTGAGTATCAATATGAAGGAGAGGGTAGAAACCTCCAGCTCTTGGGTTGTAATGTTGGTGCTTTTGACACACATAGGGATGTAAGGCACAAGTGGAGTGTTACCAGAAATTATTATCTGAAAATTCCTGAATGACCATAATCACATAGTGGTGTGTAGCCTTAAGGGATTTTTGTGTGTGGCTTTCCCTCTCTTGTTTGTGTCCATAGGAGCCTTCAAGATTTGACTATATGGATTAAAAAAAAAAAATCACAGGCAGACACTGCTTTGTGCTACTCCATCTCTTTCTTGATACTTGGTGTCATACACACACCAGGATGTTCCAGGCAGGTTTGACCACAATTCTTGAAGTGTCTAAAAGCTTGGGTTTAAATTTCTGGGGAGATAGGGTGTTTAGTTAAGATAATTCTTTTGTTCAGATCACAGAAAACACAGCACTGCCTCACCCATATTGCAACAAATCTGGGACAGTCATTCAGCAAAGAGTGAGTTTGTGGTTATTTCCTCCACGTGAAAAGGAAAGAGAGGAAAGAATTTCAGTGTGGCTAACATTGCCTCTTGTAATGCCTTGCTTTTGGAAGAAGGAAGTTAGGACCATGACTTTAGAGTTTCTGCATGTCTTGATCATTATTATTTCACAAGCTAAAAATCAAAAAAAGGTAAGAATGTGCATTTCACAGTTCCCTTTGGTGGCCAGATGTAAAGCCAGTGATGTCTCCAAGGAGAAGCTTCCCACGGAGTCAGCTGAGAAAGCAGAGCTGGCGTTCACAGCTGGTGAGATGGGGAGGAAGTGAGTGGGCTCAGCACGCTCAGCCCCTGTCCATGGGCACACTGCCGTGGGTGAAAGGGCCAGTGACCCCCAGGAGGGTTCATCTTGCTGCACACAGCATAACTTTACCCTTCTTCTCCTTGTGAGAAGGCTCCGAGGTGCAGAGGATGTGGTGACAGTACCAGTGGACACTTGTGACAGTCCTTTTTGTAGAACAAGGGGAGCTGTTGTCTTGCAGACAAGTTAGGCTTTAGGAAGGGCAGAAGGAATGGGGAGAGTCTAGACAGGAAACACTTACAGCATAGGTCTGGATTTCAGCAAGGGGTGTAAGAATTTTCTAGGAAATATTTCTGTGGAAGAGCTCCGTAACCTGATCAACATCCAACATCCCCAGTGAAATACCAAAAGAAACTTCATGAACTGCTCTGGCCAGGTTTAATGTTATACAAATATTCCAGGTGAGCAATACATACAGAGGAATTTGCTTCTCTTGCCATGAGAATTGGTCATCTCTTCCTGCCTCCTCAAAGGCACTGGCACAGCAGGAGACCCAGCAGTTCTGAAGACTGAGAGCAGGGGAGGGAGAGGTGGAAAGAACAGTCCCAAGGAGTGGTGCCTGTAGAACAGCTGGCCAGATGTTCCCAGGTGTTTGGAATGAAACACCACTGAGGCACTCTTTAGTGTTTGAGGTTTGGAAGGAGCTGGAGCTGCTGGCTCCACAGAAAACATTGCTGCATTTAGAAGAAGACTTGCTATCTTTGTGTTTTTTGTAAACCTCTAAACATTTTTAAGTGGACTTGGATAATATTTGCATAGTGAAAGTGAAGGAGGTTTTTGCTTGCAGTACTCCAAAGAGTAAATCCTACTTCAGCTGTGACCTCAGTGCAAAAGTCAAGTGCACCAAAAAAATGCTTTTCCTGGTGTGTCATTGCCTGGAGAAATCCACCAGCAGTGGTTCTGTTGTTTTGAAGGACATATGTAAGTAAGCCAGGTCATGAAGTTTCTCCTCAGACACTGCTTGGCAAACTCCTGTATGATTCTGAAAATAGGATATGGAGAATGCAGATTGAGCTGGCAGCTGGTACCTCCCAGTCAGATGGGATTCAGGCTCCA